TTCTGCAGCCAGCCTCTAGTGGACACTCAGGGAACTGCAGGATTTTACACTTCGGCATCCACTTCATGCTTCAACACAGGAGGTTGCTGCTTTTGTTTTACATTTCACTGCTCTGTAGAGGGAAGAGTGTGTGCAAGTGTGTGTTGTTGTATTAGAGAGTCAAACTGCCAACTACTGGTCTGGCATGTATGCTGCAGCATTTTAGTCGTAGTCGGTTGTTATCAAAACCTTGACGTCTGAACACAATCTTTTTTCACTGGATCATTCTTGTGTAAATGTGGCATAAGTCTGTCATGGTAATGGGCCGTATTTCCTCCTTATATGATTTACATAAGTAAATATGGACAACATCTCAGGCAGTTAAATCTAATGATATCTCCAGACAGTGGAGCAGCATCCTCCTGTCATGAAATAACCTGCAGGTCAAACTACTAAAGCTGTACATTTCTATTTTTGAACATATCAGCAGTGCCAGATAGGCTGGAGGCTGGAGTATTCACAAATATTCTGTAGCGGTAAACTCCCACAACATACTCGCAGAGCAACACATACCTTTAATATTCAGACTTTAAATGCATTTACATGTGATGTGCATCAGAAGAGTATTCAGTTAAGGTGTAAATATCCAGACAGTATCACATTTCTGTCACTAAGTCGAGTGTATTCTTTTCTTTTTATGTCGTCCTTTAAAGTTGTCCTAACTGGAATTGTGCTGTGACCTCACATGTCAAATGTGAAGCACATGAAGCTCATCAAGTTCAGCTGCAGTGAAAGATAAACACCAGTTTTCTTCTCCAGGTGAATCATTCTGCAGCTGCGAGGTGTTTAAGTGTAATCAGACTTTTTCTAAGTGCTGAGAAGCTGCGACTTGGACACTTTGTCATCAGTTAGATCTTTTTCAAGGCCCCTTGTTAGCGCTCTCAATCATCAAAAAAAAAAACATTTCACCACAGCGCTTGTCAACCACAGCTGTTTACACCGAGTGTGACTGATCGCTTCTCAGCCTGCTCCCGGTTCACATGACCGCGCTAATGTTAGCTGTGGAGGCAGGATTATGGGTAATGTCGTTCGCAGGCCTGTCCACATAAATGGCTGGGCCTCTGACAGGCAGAGTGAATCGGCCCTCCGCATAAGTAATTTAAAGGAGATCTATTAAACTCACTGTCACCATTAATGACGTCAGTCTGGGACGCCTGTTGAGTAGCGTTGTGAGATGTGCAGCTCAAAATCCTCCTTATTGATCTGATACTATCGTCAGTAAATACCTCAGTTCAGCCTCTGCCTGAAACGCTTCATTCCAGCTGCTGTCTCTTTAAGGCCCCGCCTCCCCACATGCCACCCCTTCCCGGTGGGCGTGTCCTAGAAAGAGCTGCCGTGGTGGGCGTGTCCTACCGCTTTGCTCCATGCTTGGCTCTGATATGTCGGCAGAACCTGACTTGAAAAAATGTAGCCGAGGTTTAGTACAGACGTCGTAACATCGTCACATTATATGCATGTATTTAAAGATGGATCTGCAGAATAGATCTCCTTTAATAATATCAGTTCATGCGTGTTGGATCAGTAGCGATACCGCTAGCCTCCAGGCTAACATTGGCCTGGATCTGATCAGCTGTTGTAGCTGACTGAAAAAAGTTATCGTCGTGGTCAAATGTCCTAGCTTCCTTTCTTTTCTGCCATCATTATCATTGTGCAGGTCCTGGCATGGGAATACGAAGTCTGACATGCCCAGGGTCGCATAGGCACATATAGAGACAACCAGCCACACTCACATTCACACCTACGGGCAATTTAGTTCAAGTATCCGGAGAGAACCCACGCAGGCACGGGAAGAACATGCAAACTCCACATGGAGAGGCTCCTGTAAGACGGGAAGTTGAATCAGGAACCTTCTCGCTGTGGGGAAACAGCGCTTACCACTGTGCAGCCCAAATTGTGTTATCATCGCTCAAATTCAGGATGGTCTATGATGCTTACCTTCATGGGCCCCTCTTGCCTCAGAGAGCTTTCCCCCTTTCCCCCCCATGATCGCAGACTCCTCCATGCATCACTGTCCTCTGATACTGGTGTCATTGTGGAGATTTTCTAGTTAGAGTTATTCCTGATCCTAAAGTTTTCTACTCATCAGGATCATTACAATCTGCCTTTACATTTTTATTCTGCTTCTTCAGCACTGAGTCCATTTTAACCTTTTGTTTTATCTCATGGTATGATAACCTTTCAGTGCACAATAAAAATCGTCTGTCCAGTATCGTTCAAGCAGCCAGTAAAATAACTGGCACACAGCAGCTTTCCCTGTTGGATATCTGGAACAGTGAGGAAAGCAAAGTCGATCTCTGCCCAGCTCTGAGCGTCCTCTCTTTGAGGACTTTGTTCTTCTTCCCTGAATGCACTTAATATTCTTTAAACTATGACTGCACTTTCCAGCAGCACTATACCACTTTATTTATCTTGTTACCATCCAGTGTAATTTCTCTTTTTCTAGGTTTATTCCATCAGGTTGTGTTGCTGTGTCTTGTCTTTGTTGTGTTTTTTGTCTACTGCTGTAAATCAACTTTCCCTTTCAGGGACAGTGAAGGTCTGAAGTGAACTGAAAGCACGACCTGTTGACATGTAGACCCCTCCTGCTTTCAGGGCAGCTTGTCCAGAAATGCGAGTGCATGTGTGGGAACAGCTGAAAATATAAAAAACATCCTTTCGGGTAAGGAGCTAACTATCGTATGTTGAGTTTGCAGATATTCACTGAACAAACGGTTTAAATGTAATCCACTCTGTTTCTGCCGTACTCAACACAAGTCCACCAGGCACGCACCATTATAGAAACCACTTCATGCTACAGTGGTATCTGCTTTCTCACAGAGCCAAAAATAAGTGGGGGGATTGTTATGTAGGGTCGTCACATGAATATATGCACGTGTTGCACACACAACATTTGTGAGGAGAATTTAGGTGCAACATATAGCAAAGAATCTCTGAGGTATTCTTCATTAAAGCAGACAATGTGTCGATAGGGTGAAAGCCTCCTCTGTTGGTTGTTTGTTTCTTATTTATCTTGTCGGTCACTTATGGGAGGAGTTTGATTTATCCTGCATTCAGCAGGAGTGCTTCAACCTTGTCATTTACCCCAAACCATTTTACAATGTATGCACCAAACGTATGTGCAGGGACTCTTTGTGTGTGAGTTTGTTCATTTTTTAGAGATGAGAGAGAGAGAGAGAGAGAGAGAGAGAGAGAGAGAGAGAGTGGGGAATGACATGCGGGAAAGGAGCCACAGGTCAGATTTAAACCTGGCCTGTCTGGTTGGAGTATTATTGCCTGTGTACATGGGGAGTGCAGACTAACCACTAGGCCGCCGAGCCCCAAAGAACTCCAGTTCTGTCCCTTTAGCTTCGGGCTCTCTGGTTCTCAGGCGGCGATTGCACGACAACGGTTTCAGCTGTGTCCTGTTTACACATCAACTGTGTTTTTGGTTGCCTCAAAGCGGGTTGCAGAATTTAAACTTTTGAAAACAGCACAGTTTCCGTCGCCGTCTAAACTGGAAATATGTAGTTCCTCTGAATATGGCGACTTTATTCACATGCGCATTACGGTTCCTGTCCATATCCACGGCTGGACTACAACAACAATAGCGGCCTCCTGAGTTCTGTTTGTGACATTTCCTCTAAATGTTCTCGAAAAAAGTTTAGGGTCACTCTGAGTAACGACCCCACCTCATCGTCCTTCCACACAACGTTCATGTGTTAGTCATGTTTGTTTGTTCACACCTCATCGCTCTGTAGACGGAAGAGTTTGAGAGCAAATCGTTGTCTAATTGCAGAACTGTTTTTAAATTAATTATGTTGTCGTGTAAATGCGGCCTCACATTTACCTTTTTGTTGGGAGAAGAAACATAAAGCCTCAGGAGCAGTGCAGATGTATAACTCCTCCTGATTTGATTGTTAATCGAACCATCAGTTTTCAGGTAAATATGAAGTTTCATACAATCAGAGATGGAGTTTCTGACATTAAGACGTCTACATTCAAACTTATTCTGAAACAATGAAGGTTTTTAGACTTGTCAAAAGTCTATTTCCTATCGAGCCAGTGATGGTAAAATAAATAATTAAAAATCCACCACGGCAACACTTAAAGCTCGACTTGTCGCTTCCTTGTGTGATAGATGAACTCTTCGCTGATGTGCTCTCACTCGGTGCTATTCTTCCCCCTGACGGTGACTTAATACCAAACACACCCTACCTTTTGGCTCACAGTGGTGAAACCTCAGAGCATCAGGCCATTACTAAATGTGAATAATCTGACACTGTGTTCCCAGGGCTGGAGACTGGACCCCTCCAATGATTCAGCAGCTAAATTGATCCAGACACATACTGAGTGACTGATGGCATTCCCAGAACCCCAGTGCAGCGCTTCATTGGCCAGACTATGTGAGGGTGCGTGTGTCTGTGGGTGTGTGTTTGTGTGGGACTGCAGAGGTGATAATCAGCAGTGGCAGGAGGGACTTTCTTGTCCCTGTTGTTGTGCCGCGTGGAGCTGTCCCAGTCGGGACTCCCAGTTGGTCTCTTTCAACTCACCCCCCTTCTGCTCTCTCTCTCTCCTGAGCCCACCTCTCTTCTGTTATTTCCTCTTAAACGTCTCTCAGTCCACCTCCTGTTTTCCTTTGAAGAGGCTCTTCTTTTGTTTCCTCTTTAGACACTACCGAGGAGAAACAGGGGAAAGTGTTGTTAGGGTATATATCACAGATTAAAGGGAAAGAGAGCTGTGGAGAGGAGGCTTTGCTGCTGATCAGGAGTACCCCTGCTGAGGCGCTCAGCAGCCGGTCCCTCCCGTCATCTGTCCATGCAGTAGGTGAGACTGAAAAACAGCCTGCTGAAGAAAGTTGGCTCGTCAGGATTTGCTGTCTTAGGAGTGTTGTAGTTATTTTTGAGGAGGTGTGGGGGGGGGGGGCGTTCAGAGAGGTTAGGGGTGTTAAAGCTGCAGGTGGTGCTCGGGGAGTTTGTTTTGCCATGCAGCAAGCTTGGGATCGGACAAGTAGCTGCGAGAGTGGCAATACGGGCCGTTTGAAAATGCTGGGGAAAGGACAAAGCGGTGGATACCCCACTGAGACGACGGCTGACGTTCTGCAAAGGTAAGATTCAAGTGTTTCTAAAGTATTTACAGAGAAGGGACGAGCCTGTTCCTCACGTGGCAGTGTTAGAAATCTGTTTGTTCCTTGTGGATGGTAATTATAAAATATATTTCTAGAAGAGTGAAAACGTCCTGTGCTTGAAGAGCTGCCGGCAGGAAAGTTTCTCTGCAGTCTTCTCAAATTGCTCAGGAAGGTTTTAACGCCGCAGTCTAAATGTAAACGTGTCAAAATGAAGATAACGGACGGTTTGTACAGCGTCTGTAACCGGGGGTGTCGAATGTGGAAGAAAAAGTTAGGATGACTGTGAGGGCTGTTGACTGACAGGGGTCCCTTATTAAAACATGAACCTGTGGCTGTAAGAGAGGACCGTCTTCTCTCTCTGATAATTACAAAAACCTGTTGTGTTTCATGGTGCCATGCAGGCCGCCTCTCCGCTGATCTCCTTTATTTCTAGGAAACAGGATTTTAAAAAGATCATAATTCATGAGGACTGATTAAATAAAATCCTCTTACATGGTTAAATATTATCCCGACGTCAGGAAGTTGCTCAAAGTTCACAGCTCAGATTCTTTATTTTTATTGCATTACATAATAATTAGATTTCTGTCTGCACTGTTTGAGCTTTTTTCTGTCTTTTAGCAGAAAAACGAGGCTGTAAAAATCTGCTCACATGTCCAGAGTGAGCGCAAAGGGTTCAGGAACATTTATACGCTGAGCAGAGTGTTCAGAGCGACCCATTAAAGTCACAGTTAAATTGTTTTTTTTGCATAATGGAGTTTTGTTAAAGCACTTTGGCTGCGGGCGGTTTGGGCCATGGTCACTTTCTGGCAGCGCCTGCGTTCGTTTGAAGGTGTTGTGATTTATTCAAGAGAATATCTAAACTGTCGAAAAGCAAAAATCAAAGCTTCTATCTCTTAACCTTTGATATCATGAAATATAAAGCGCTCACATCTTTCATTGTAATTATTCTTCAAAAACAAAATTAAACATAATTAAAAAACGTTTCTTTTTATAAACCTTAAAGCCTTAAAGCTGTACTGAGTTATTCTCTCTTCAGCTGAGAGCAGATCTGCACGTCTTCACGATATTTAATTGACCTTTTATAAGTATAAAGTTATTAAAGGTATTATAAAGTTTTGCACATTTTAATTGACATATTTCAGGTGTTTTTAAAAGATGACACAAATATGACGAGAGTGATTTATAAATCTGCAAACTGAATAAATCAAAATCAATCGAGAGGAGACTTTAAAAGGAAGACGCCTGACTGTCAACATATACACACACACACACATTAAGAAGAAGTCCGTCTCTACAGGAAGTTTCACCTTTAATCTGCCCGCTGGTGAAGAGTCAGAGGTCGTCTGCTTTAAATCAGGATAAAGTTATCATTTTATATCACGAGTGTTTGTCTCAGAGGTGAACAAGGTCGATCAGAACGCTGAGACTGTCGAGTGTTTACAGACTCTGAATTTAATATTTATTTTTAATTTAATCACTGAATAAAGTTCAGCAAAAACAAAACAAGAGCGTGCTGCTTTGAAGATAATTTAATACAATCACAGTTTTTATTTAAAATAATAAAAATATACGACCGAGTTAAAGGACAAAAATTTAAGATTAAAGTAAAAAAAATGAAAAGATGAATTTAAATAAACAATATTAAACGGATAAATGGAATTAAATAATCGTATCAGATATTCCATTTAATTCCTCTTGGAGTTTGTAACAGACCCCTGAGTCAGGTTATCATGGTGCCAGGCCGTACCAACGAGTAAAAGAACGACTTTAATCTCCAAATGTTTTTATTATTTTCCCCTTAATGTGTCAATAACTCTCCTCTGTAAAAACTCAAAAATATGACAAAGAAACTGATTTTTTTTAAAGTATCTGATGGTTAAATATGGAGTCACACTTCGTCTAAATGTAACATCAAACATGAGCAGCCTGTAAAAACAATATTAATTAATATAAATCTTTTAAAAATGAAAATGAAAATCTTCATCTTCATGTTTTATCTTCTTACATAATCAGGATGCAAGACTTCTAAATAAAACATCAGCTTCACTTAATTTATTTTTATTTATTTCAAACATGCAAACAACATTGAGAGTGGACTTCCTGTAAAGTCAATTTTTTAAATTTTTTTAAATTTTAAATTTTTAACTCGTCTGTGCTCGAAAACGATGACATGAAAAAACGTCACCGGTCCGACTCTCTTTGTTCTGTGAAGCTTTACTCCAAGGCCCTTTCAAAATAAAGTCAAAGAATACAGATAACTAGCAAAAAAAAGCAGAAACGAATAAAAATAAGTTACACTCATTATTTAGATGATACAGAGCATCCACTGACTCCATGTTTCTCATGGTTAGAAGAGATGAAGCAACCCGCTGCTGAGAGCGATGACATGACTCTGATTCTTTAGAGATATTATTTATTTAAGAAGGTAATTAACCCTTTAATTATGTAAATATGTTGGAAGATAAAGAGTTTTAAATTCAGATTACAACTAAAAAAAGGCGGTCTCTTCCTCGTCATCAAGGACCGATGGTCTCATGCGTTCTGCAAGATTCAAATCAGTTCCCTGCAGGTGGGGAGAGCATAACTAAACGCTCTTTCCCCCGAGTTCAGTCCCGACGTCTGGACATGTATCTCCTGTTAGAAAAACAGAAATGACGGGGACAAACAGGATGTGTTTTACAGATTGAGTTAAAAACGTCACCATGTCTCATCTCTCCGAGCCGCAGCGCGGTAAACGGCGTTCTCAGTGCTTCTGGAAGCCGCAGGAAACCGTCAGAGTGAACTCTCTGATCCTGCAGAGTGTTTTTAATGAACATGTTCGTTTAGACATTAAATCAGACGGCTGCAGCTGTGCACACCTGGATTATTTAGGACAACATCAGCGAATGAAGGACGAGCTGCTCCACCTGATTTCTCATATCGAGCCTGAATTTGCGTATCAAACAAACGATTATAAAAAGCTTTGCTGACACAGAACAGCTGGTTAAAATGACGTTAGGGTTATACGTCTTTATGTCATTACATGTTACACACAGGTACTCTAAAGTATCTCTGAAGATAATGGATCCTCATTTTATAATTAAAGGGAAAGTTTTGTCTTTAACCCCGGGTATAAAAACAACAAATAACTCTTCTTTCTCCTCAGGGTGTCATGAACTTATATTACAGAATAATTATCATTTAAATGCTGTCAGGCTTTTTATAAGAAAGCACACAATAAATATATTTTGTGATATTGACAAAAAAAAGTAAGGTAAAAATAGATTTGAGCAAACGTAGAGCTCTCCCTGTCTCCTTGACGACAAGGAAGGAAAAATGTCATAAAAAATGGAGGTAAAGCCTCCGACTTGATTTGATTGGCTGCTTCGTCCAAAAGTGACATCGACAAGCGCTGCGACTCCTCGCCTTGAGCTTTGAATGTCCAAAAACTGCAACAAAAAGGCGTGGCACGGGCACTTTTTTCGGCACTCTGTAAAGGGACTTTTTCCTCATGAGCATTCGCCCCTCTCCTCCTCCTCCCGGCCGTGTCCCAGCTGCTGGCTCTATATCATTTTGGTGTCATGTCGAAGGAGGGAAAGTAGTTTAAGTCGATGTTCCCCCTTTGCATCGCCTTCAGCTCTTTAGCGGTTCACTGACGTGTGAAAAATGTCACAGGAAAGCTAATAAATCTTCCTGAAGCCACCAAATGTGTGAGTACTTTCCCGACTCTCACGCATTTTGTCTGCAAACCTTTGGGACCCTACCCCTGCCTTATTACTGAACGCAGGCTAGTCTTATTCAACAGATTTAAGGCACACAGGTTATAATGGTTCTATAAAGTAACAGATATATCTCTAAGTTTGAATTCTCTCATGTTTGTTATTTTTAACCTTCTCTGCGTGATTTATCCCGCGCTGAATGAAAACACATCCTGTTGGTTACTGACTTTGAAGAAACTATCAGTTGATCTGTTCTGCAGTTTGTCTGATCTTCAGTTTTAAGCTATTTGTTAATTTAATAATCATGAAACTATTTCTGAACACTCAAAGACACTGAACAAAGAATAATTAGAAAACAAAACAAAGAAGAAATAATGTCAGAGGAGGAGGAGAACAGAGTTTGGAGGCTTGGAGGATTTCTTGAAGTTGGAGAGTGAAGGGGGGGGTCTCTGCTGCCTTTTGGGACTGCGTTCCAGAGGGTGGGAGATGGCCCTGTCCCCCCAGGACTCGTGGTTAATCCTGCAGGGGGGGGGTCAGACATGAGAGAGCCGGTGCAAGAGCTCAGACAGGTTGGGGGGAGCATGGTTATGGAGGACTTTGCAGGTGATAATAAAGAGTTTGGAGTGGATCTGCTGGGGGATGGAGAGCCAGTGGAGGTTCTGTAGGACCGGGGTGATGTGGTCCCGAGTGGGGGAGTGTGTTTTATCTTACACCTGAAGGTTTGATATCATGACAGACGATTCTTCTGTGTTTCTCTTGTAACCCTTTATTTCTGTAACTGATGTGGCACACGCTGTGAGGTTAAACTAATGAAAATATTTACAACAAATCTCCTCAAGAGGCTGAACCTGAGAGGTCGAGACTCAGTCCTGTCCCGCTGAAGGGGATTAACGATAGATGATCTGCTGGGCTTTCCTTACCATCATGTAAAACCTGCAGACATGTTTGTCAGGATTGATTAGTGAGCTGGCTGCTCAGCTCTGAGATGTCTGGGTCCTCCTGCTTTGAGATTTAGAGAGAAAAGGTTTACACATTAATGAGGCTGAGCTGCATGAAGGCAGAGTGTTTGATTGGGTGTTTCAGACACAAGCAGGTTAGTCAATGCAATGTCCAAATAACCTTCAGTGTTTCTACACTTCCAGGAACAGAGAAGTTAAGGCAGCAGTAAATCTGTGCTGTCGTTATTTGTGGGTGGAGACATTTTCTCACCTTCTGCTGAAAGGAGAATCGTATATTTTTCTGTGTCACCTCCTCTAGTCCACCACCACCTCAAACAGGTGT